AGAAGTACCAGAAAGGGTTACTTCTGGGTTTTGCAACTCGCGCATGTGAAGACGTGCAAAAATGACATCACGCACATGCACAGAAGCGGCAAACCTGTGTGTGCGCAGATGCAGGTTGCGTTCCTTTCAGGTTGCGAATGGGGCTCCAGAATTGATCCCCTTCACAACCAGAGGTACCACTGGAGAGAGAGAGAGAGAGAGAGAGAGAGAGAGAGAGAGAGAGAGACTGGCCAGTGTGGTGTAGTGGTTAAGAGCGGTGGACTCGTAATCTGGGGAACCGGGTTCGCGTCTCTGCTCCTCCACATGCAGCTGCTGGGTGACCTTGGGCCAGCCACACTTCTGTGAAGTCTCTCAGCCCCACTCACCTCTCAGAGTGTTTGTTGTGGGGGAGGAAGGGAAAGGAGAATGTTAGCCGCTTTGAGACTCCTTCGGGTAGTGATAAAGCGGGATATCAAATCCAGACTCCTCTTCTTCTCCACAAGGTCTGAGGGACCGGCCCCCTGCGGAAAATGTTTGCTGGTTTAGGATGAGAGTTTTCCTAGATAGTTACCTAGATGGGGCTGATGAGCCCCACCTGCCCCTCACTTCCCTCTACAACCTGTGCAGAAACCGCCTTCTTGACCTTTGGACCCACTCTTAATCTGGTCCGCTCCATCTGACTGCAGGGTGGGGCCCAAAGGTGGACAAACGACCCCAGAAGGAGCATGATGTGTCACCCACCAGATGCATTACCCCTCCCCTAACAGCACATCGTCTCTGGAGGGCATCAGCTTGGGGGAAAAGGTGTCAAAAGGGAGCCATGTTATTTTCTGTGGGTCCACTAGGAGGGGGTAGAAACCAATTTTCTGGTTTCTGATCCCTGCTGGCATTGAGTTTACAGACTCTCTCGACATAATGGCTTGCTTATATTGTATACACTTGAAGAGTTTTACCAGGGCAGTCAGGCCTAGCCCTTCTGATCAGAACTGGCCTGGCATCCAGGATTGTGCTTTGATCTCATGATGCTGCCTTGCAAACGAAAGATGGCATAGCCCCTGTGTATGTGGTCTGCCTCTGCTTTTGATTCACAGAACTGTCACGCAAGACACGCACCCCTTGCAGGGCAACAGCCGCCTGCTTTTGCTGTTCGACTTTGATGTGCCACAGTAAATCAGCCACACCCCAGCACAACCAATCGGGCAACATCTGTGCATAAGAGAAATGCCAAGCTGATTTTACGCGACAAACTCGGCTTTCAATCACAGCTCTACAGTAAATCACAGCCCTGCCCTGACCCCAGTTATGGATAAAGGCACATTAAGCCCTTTTGCACGAACATGAATGCAACGCTCGATTCTCCACCCTCTTCCCACAGAACCAGAATGGGAGAAACATCTGACACAGCTATGGTAATGTTCTCTGCTCATTTGGGTCTTTCCTTGGAGGTTTTTAAGCAAGGTTGAATATAGTGGGGTAGGAGAACTGAAAAGGATGCCAATATATTTCACATCTGGCAACCAGTGGGCCCCTTTGGTTTCAGATGGCTGAAATTTGGTATACTGACCAAACTAAGCTTCCCTGTGTATAATTTGATCTAGGAAGCTTAGTTTGGTGAGAATCCAGTATACATTTCCAGAGTTAATGATAAATACATTACTTCAGGCCAATGAGCTGCCATAGCTGCCAGAGAGCTATGTAAATTTGAGTCCTGGGTTTTTTAGACTTGTCTACCCATGTACCTTCTGATACCGAAATGGCACATTGCTTGCTAGATGTGAAATATTTTTCAGTTCTTCCAACCCACTCATGGCCTAGGACCCTCGTACCTACGGGACCGCCTCTCCCGGTATGCCCCATGGAGAGCCTCAAGGTCCATAAATAGCAACGCCCTAGTGGTCCTGGGCCCTAAGGAAGTTAGATTGGCTTCAACCAGAGCCAGGGCCTTTTCAACACTGGCCCCGGCCTGGTGGAACGCTCTGTCTCATGAGACCAGGGCCCTGCAGGATCTGATTTCTATCCGCAGGGCCTGTAAGACAGAGTTGTTCCGCCTGGCCTTTGGCTTGGAACCAATTTGATTCCCTCCCCCTCTTTCTTTTTTCTTTTCCTTTCTCCTCCTGCGATGAGGCTACATTTTAATATTTTAATGTTTCAATATTTTAATGTTGTATTTTAGTTTTGTTTTTAAGTTGTATTTATTCAACTTGTTTTTATTATTGCTTGTTAGCCGCCCTGAGTCTGGCCTTGGCTGGGGAGGGCGGGGTATAAATAAATAATAATAATAATAATAATAATAATAATAATAATAATAATAATAATATCTCCTGCAAACCAGAGTGTGTTGCGCCCGGTGCGGCCGGCCCCCCCTGCACCCCCCACGCTACGCCACTGATTCTGTGTGGTGTGAACAAAGTGCTTGTTTCCACTAACAGGCTGGGTGAAAGCATGGCGCTATCTGTCCCAGTGATTCAGGGTGCAAACTCTGCGCTTTCACTAAAGGACAACACAGACATGAAGAAATCAAGAAAAAGATGTGTGAATTAAGGATGTCAGCTGAATCTGGCCAAAGATGGGAACCTGCGAGGTTCAGTGCTAACAGCCAAGACAGCACAGAACAGCACAAGTTTGTTCCCTCGGGCCTGAACAACAAGTGGTGTGTGCTTGATGTTGTTTTCTGCCATTTCTCATGCTGTTAAGACTTCGCATCTGTGATTTGGCAAGAATTGGGATTGATGGGATGTCATTTGTCCAACAAATTTCCCTAGTAACTGCCAGTTACTCAGGTTTTCTGAATCCAGGGAGCGTTTCTTGAGAAGATCTCATGTGCAGAAAACACCCTCTTGACTGTTGGATCCACTCTTGGTCTCATCTGCTCAATCTGTCAGAGCCTTTCTGGCTACCTGGTTTGGGTAGCAAGTTGAAGCCATTCCTGGAGTGCGGGTGACAGCTTCTAGAAGCCACAGGTGAGAGCTGAGTGCAGCGTGGGGACCAAAGGTGGACAAACTACCCCAGAAGGAGCACAATGTGTCCCCCACCAGAGGTGCTACCCCTCCCTTAACACAGCCCCATAAACCCCAAACCTATTTGCCGAAACCTGGGTGGTGTACATGAAAATACGTTATTGTTGTTGTTTAGTCGTGTCCAACTCTTCGTGACCCCCTGGACCAGAGCATGCCAAGCACTTCTGTCTTCCACTGCCTCCCGCAGTTTGGTCAAACTCATGCTGGGAGCTTCAAGAACACTGTCCAACCATCTCGTCCTCTGTCGTCCCCTTCTCTGTCGTCCCTTCTCCATCTTTCCCAACATCAGGGTCTTTTCCAGGGAGTCTTCTCTTCTCATGAGGCGGCCAAAGTATTGGAGCCTCAGCTTCAGGATCTGTCCTTCCAGTGAGCACTCATGGCTGATTTCCTTAATGGATAGGTCTGATCTTCTTGCAGTCCATGGGACTCTCAAAAGTCTCCTCCAGCACCATAATTCAAAAGCATCAATTCTTCGGCGATCAGCCTTCTTTATGGTCCAGCTCTCACTTCCATACATCACTACTGGGAAAACCATAGCTTTAACTATACGAACCTTTGTTGGCAAGGTGATGTCTCTGCTTTTTTAACACTGCAATAATAACAGCAGTAAAAGCATCAATGGAATTTACTTCTAATAAATTTCTTCTAAGGGCTGTGTGGAGAGAGTCTCTCCCTTTAAATTCCTAGGAGTTTATCTCAGTGAAGACCTTACTTGGAAAATCAATACAACCCAGGTGGTTAAGAAAGCCCATCAGAGACTCCATCTCCTCAGAGTCTTGAGGAAGAACAATGTCAATCAACATTTGATGATCTCCCACTACCGGTCCACAATAGAAAGTGTCCTTTCATACTGCATCACGGTGTGGTACACTGGTTTGACATCAGCTGATACAGAGGGTGGTGCCTACAGAGGGTGGTGAATACAGCACAAGGTATTATGGGCTGTCCCGTGAATCCACTGGATAACATTGCGGAAGAACGTTGCCTCAGGAGAGTGAGGAAAATTCAGACCCTGGCTGGCACTTTCTTGATCTCCTACCCTTGGGCAGAAGATATAGAAGCATGATAAGTCGCACCAACAGGGTAAAAAACAGCTTCTATCCTGGGCTGTTAGGCAGCAGGATGAAAAGATAACAACAGGGCAACTGACTTTCGGGTTTGGTGGGTGTATGTCAGTAAAGGAGGGGAATTAAGACTAAGAGAGCTGAGTGGGGGGGGGTGCTCGTGTAATCTCACTGTATACTAGTTGTACAAGTGACAATACAGTATTTCAATTCTAAGTATGCTACAGGATCACAGCCTTGCTTGGAAGTATGTTCCCCTGGAACTAATACGCCACACCCATAAAATTTGATTATGTCTGCCAAGGGCTGTGAAAAATCAGATGTTGCAGGCTGCCCTGCCTACCATTCCTGAGTTTTGCCCATGCAATGTCAGATCAACATCCAGAGAACCGCAGACTGTGCCATCCTCGCTCTCTGCGTATCCCTCGGGCCACGTTCAGGCATGGTTGGCTTTTAACACGCGTTCGGGTCATTTAGGAGCCTCCGGCTCTCACCGCTCAACTGCTTAATATTGCAGAACCAAAGTCTTTCCTTCCTTCCAGAATGTTCCCGCTAATTGCTAATCAGGTGCTTTTAATAAAATAACAGCCCGTAACCCTGTCGATTATCCAAGCTCTTTTTTTCCTTTTGCAGGCCCGGAGACACGTGAAACCCTCGCTTTGCACCTGCGAGCCGTGGCCTCCCCGTGTCTGGTTGCGGCGGGGTTGGGACGATACCATAGCAGGAAAAGGGGGGGGAGGAAAGAGATGTAGTTTTCTTTTGCTGCTTTTTCTAATTAATGGTCTTTCCGGCGCAATCGTGTCTGCGCGCGGGTGTCTCTTATATGGAGGAGGTAGGGGCGGGGGAGCGAGATGCGGAAGAGGGAAGATGGGGAAGAGGGTGGTTTTTCCCATTTCCCGCCTCCCCTACTTTCGTGGTCACAGTGGTCTCGTCCGAACGTCGAGATAAAAGCCTCCTTGCTGCAAGGTTCCGAAGTAGAACGTTGGAGGCCTGAACTGCGCGTGAGAACTGCTACTTCCCTGCTGCTGGTTAGAGCCGCAGGGTCCAGCCGTCGCCATGCATGTCAAAATCAAGGTGGTGTATTGGTAAGAAGCCATTGCAAGAAAAAAATATATACTATTGTTGCTGCTGCGGTTATTGTGCTCCTTTCCGCCGCCTTTTTATTCGATTGCTGGGAACGCTGTTCGTCTGAACGGGCCAACGGGCCATTCCTTAAAAGGCGAACAGATTTATTTTTTTTTACTATTGCATAAGCTTTATGCTCCTGCATCATCCATTTGCATCGTGCATGCGGCGAAGGAGACTCGAGCCCGCCGATGCTCAATATAACCCGGCAAGGTTCCGCGTTGGGGTTTGCTGCCAAGCGGGCTGATGGCGCCACGCCTCTCGAAGTCGTTTCCTTGGTTGCTGCGGTGGTGATCTTGCAGTTATTTCTAGAGCAAGGTCTCTCCGTCGACAACAGAGAAAATGGCAAAGGAAGCCGGTTTCTCTGCCCGGGGGCGTTTGGGTAACCTGGGGAGGGAGGTTCCTATGGGACCTCTTGAAGGTTGGTTTCGTCACTTGGTATGGGTGACCCATCGGTTTATCGCAACATGAATTCTGGATTCTGGACTTTGGCAGCAAAATGTTTAATGCATTTTGATTGCAAATTGGCCTTATAACTTGTTATATAATCCAGACCGAAGTGTACTAAATGCCTCTATTAATGTGCAGCTTTGCAGAAATATTTATTCTACTAACAAAGTTATTCAGGATTTTTATTTTTTAAAAAGGGAACACATGGTATCTGATTGCAGAAGAGCAGTATGGAAAGCAATGTCTCACAAAGATTTGGGCTACCAAAAGGTAGTAGCAGTAAACTCAGGATATTCAGTGGTAACTGAGTAAAGTAGGTAACATGAAGCCAAGGTTTGGGTAGCCTCACTTCCAGAAACGTAGTAAGAGGATCCCTATCCCATGACAGTTCAGTGTGGTGTCCTTTTTGCCCAGAGAGAGCATTGAGTGGCGTTGCTCAAACTTCTGATCCTTTAGCAGAAAAGTAGCGGACAAATTTTGACCAAGCAAACTTCGGAGCCCAGTTGGCTAATCCTGGCAGCCGATCTGGCAACAGTTCATTAGTTTTGAGTGACGGTTACAGGTTGCCTCTGATGCGCAGGCAGCTCAAAACAACTCCCTTGTATGAACACCAGATCACTGGATCTTTTCTGCTAGAGAGCAAGTCCCAAGTGTTTAAATGTAAGCCTCAAGCCTCTCAGATGTTGGGCTGCAAGTGTCAACACAGCCAGGAAAGCAAAGCTGGAAAGGGTATCTCTCTATACGAGTTAAGGATTAAAATCAAGAATTATTTTGGGTTGAATTTTAAAGCCCATTGACCCACTTGCACAGGCTTTAGACCCCACTTGTGAGTTGTGACCCACAAGTTGGGGAAATGTTGGACTAGTAGAGTCCACTTCTTCAGATTGATGTGAGCAATTTTGTACGGTGCTTGACATGAATCCACTGTTGATGTCCACATTCCCACAGATAGACAAATGAAGGTCCCCATGTTAAGCTGTGCTGTCAGTGATCATATGGTAATTCAAGAAATTCTTTGCTTACTATAAAAAAGAAAACCCAAGCAAGGGGAATGTTTATTAGAAACTTGGAGAATTATAAAACTGAAAATGGATCCCCAAACATTCCTTGTTTTTAGTGGATTCCTCTTCTTTACTAAATGGGACGCGGGTGGCGCTGTGGGTTAAACCACAGAGCCTAGGACTTGCCGATCAGGAGGTCAGCGGTTCGAATCCCTGCGACGGGGTGAGCTCCCGTTGCTTGGTCCCTGCTCTTGCCAACCTAGGAGTTCCAAAGCACGTCCAAGTGCAAGCAGATAAATAGGTACCCCTCTGGCGGGAAGGTAAACAGTGTTTCCGTGCGCTGCTCTGGTTCGCCAGAAGCGGCTTAGTCATGCTGGCCACATGACCCGGAAACTGTACTCCGGCTCCCTTGGCCAATAAAGCGAGATGAGCGCTGCAACCCCAGAGTCAGTCACGACTGGACCTAATGGTCAGGGGTCCCTTTACCTTTACCTCCTGCTTCTGAGAGTCTTCCTGAATATGCCTGTTTGAGGGGCTGTAGGCATTGTCTGGTTTAACCAAGGCTGTCTGTGATGTTTCACATCTTGGAAGCCTCATACAGGGCTCTTAACTTTGCCCTTGGATTCAATATCAAGAAAAGCTATCCTGTTACAATCTGTTAATCGACCTTGTAAATGAGTCCACAAAAGTTACTAACCTGCCACTTTTTAGCTTGCCTGCTCTTTCACGCTAGCCATGGAGGGCATCTGGAAATCAGAGCATCTTTAGAGAACTTGTGAAAGCTTGTGGCCCGTCTCCCAACATTTAGCATCCTAAATTGGAATAAATATTTTTTTGGGGAATACACACAGATCTAGAAACTGTGATGGAACAGCAGAATGGGAACCAGTGGATTGAAACTTTAATGGGATCAAAAGTTGTAGGACCCATCGAAGTTATTTTCCTGGCTCCATTTGATTGCTAGACAGAAGGAGAGCTGCTTAAGGGATCTGGCTAGTTGCAGGTGGCCTGGTGACTACAGAAGCCAGTTCATGGCCGGTAGGTGGAGATTATGGGAGTTGTAGCGCAGCCACAGTTTCCATCTTTGCTTTGTGCTAAATGTGATGTTGCAGTAACGCTTGCTTTTACTTTTCTTGTAGTGGGGCCTGAGGATACAGTCCCAAGGTGAGTAGATCCTTCTGCCTGATTTGTAGCAAAACCACTTAACATCCTGGTCTGCAGCCTGGCTGAAAGAACCAAAAGTAACTGCTGGTTGGATATGGCGCAGCGGTAGTGGCAGTTAGTGCAGGACCTAAGCAGTATTTGCTAGCGCAGTAGTCATGCCAGTATTAGTGCACCACATATTTTGCTTTCAGGGTTTCTGATGTTGGCCTCTTCCACTGGTAGAGAACAGAAAATGCCAGCATCTGGAGGAAAGGAGGGTGGCAGGGAAGGTCCCCTCGAATTGTTCTGGATCTCTCTGCATCCTACAGAACATGGGGAGCTGCCTTATATTCAGTATTGTTGACACTGACTGGCCGTGATTCTCCAGGGTTTGGGATAACGTCTCTCTTCCAGCCATACCTGGAGATTTCCGGGATTGATCCTTGGACCTTTAGCACTCAAAGATGTGCTCTGCTAAAGAACCACAGCCTTTCTCGTGGCTTGCATGTGCTAATTGAGCACAGGGGTTGAGTCTGAGCTGTTGGCAATGCAAAGGTCTTGGCCTCCCTCTTCTGATTCTGAACTGCTTTCTGCCACAGATTCTCCCTGCTCACTAAGCCCTGTTTCCTCTCCAGCTTCTGACACCTCCTTTTCCCGGGCTTCTCCCTTTGACCACTCATCATCATCCCACCACCACACCCCGGGCTCTGAGCTTTCCCCAGCTGGTCTCTGTGTCCAACCAGTCCATGAGTGCTTAGGGAGGGCTTTAACTTTCTCTGATAACCACAGCTGTGAGTCGATGTTTCGGAACTCTTAAACAACTTTTCCCTCCTCCTCTTAACTTGTAGTATCAGCAGCTCAAGAAGGAACTCGAAAAGGAGTTTCCGGGCAAGCTGGAAATGGTGAGTGGATCCAGGTGATGCTGGCACAAGTCGTTTTGCTGACCTGCAGCCCGTGCAATTTGTGGCGATTTAAGCAGCAGGAAGGGAAGGAATTTGGCATTTCGGTTGCCTCTTAGCGTGGGACGCAAGATACACTTTAACTCAAGGCCCTCCGGGGCCCTGACACACACACACACACACACACACACACACACACAGACCACTCACTCAAGAAAGGCACCTGGTATGGACTGAAAACCTGCAATGCATGTCCTGAATTGTTTTGCAGAAACCACTGTAAACCAGTGACAGATCTCCATACTGCAGATCCCCTTCAACTTGCAGACCCAGGATGGTGTTGACTAGTGTTCTAGGCTGATGATTCAGCTGGCTAGGTCATTAGTTCTGTTTACAGAACTAGGGCAACACCCTATTCCTCCATCTACACCCAGTACTGTCTGCTGAGTACATTTTCCGTGCAACTCTGGTTCTCCCCGCCCCCAAACTCCTATCCCTCCCTAAAATGCACCTAGAGCTTTCTTCCTTGGTAGAGTTCAGCAGGGAAAGAGCCCACGCATAGCAGTGCTTAGCAACCTTATATCAGGCGTTCAGCTTGGCTGCCGTTCTTGGCAGCTTGGGAAATAGCTTTGTGATCTGAGAACTAAATAATGGCCAACTAATTGTTGGGTTTGTACTCTCCCTAAAGAAGAAGAACCCATCTTCTTTCCTCCAGCATGCCCCAGTCGTCTTCTGCAGCGCACAGGAGATGTTGCAGTAGGTGGTCTGGCGACATCCTGCACATGGGAGGGCTGGGTGAGTGGGGAGGCAATGCCGCTAGGTGTATGCTGTCTCTATCTGAAGGAGCGTCTCCACCCCCATTGTTCTACCTGGACACTGAGGTCCAGCTCTGAGGGCCTTTTGGCGGCTCCCTCACTGTGAGAAGCCAAGTTACAGGGAACCAGGCAGAGGGCCTTCTCAGTAGTGGCACCCGCCCTGTGGAACGCCCTCCCACGAGATGTCAAAGAGAACAGCTACCAGACTTTTAGAAGACACCTGAAGGCAGCCCTGTTTAGGGAAGCTTCTAATGTTTGATGTATTACAGTATTTAAAATTTTTTTTTGGAAGCCACCCAGAGTGGCTGGGGAAGCCCAGCCAGATGGGCAGGATAATAAAGTAATAATAATAATAATAATAATAATAATAATAATAATTAATAATTAATTACTGTAGTTCTCCAGAAATGCTTGAAGAAATTGCAGCATGCTTGCATCTAATGATAATACAAGATGCGCAATGGCTCCTTAAGGTGGTTTCGTTTCATCCCCTCTCTCTCCACCCCCACTTTCTACCTAGACTGGCGAAGGGACTCGTGAGTCCACAGGATGGTTTGAAGTCACAGTGGCTGGGAAGCTTGTGCATTCCAAAAAGGTGAGCCGTTCCGGGGAGCCCTGCTTGGCAAGACAGTGGAAGGCCAATACTTTTTTTATAAAAGAATTATCCATTTTTCTTTTTCATTCGTTACATCCATCTCAAATTCTTAACATTACTATGTATTCCTTCCTCCCCTCCCCTCCTAGGCTTCCCCCATCTCCCGCTTCTCGTTTGTTTCTCCTTTCACCCACTTTGCTACCTCCTAACAGAAAAAGTTACTAATGACATAACATCAAACAAAAGTAAAAGTAAATACACTGTAATATTTCTCTTATCTCCTACACATTTTCTAATACAAATAATGTGAATGTTTGTTTAAATCCTGCCATCAAGTCTATCGATGTCTTTTGTTTTCTGCAAGCATGATATAAATGTTTCCCATTCTTTTTCAAAGTCTCTGTTGTCTTTTTCTCTTATTCTGTCTTTCATTTTTGCCAATTCTGCATAATTCATCAACTTCTCTTGCCATTGTTCTTTAGTTGGTATTTCTCCAGTCTTCCAATTTTGTGCAATCAACATTCTTGCTGCTGTAGTGGCATACAGATGGAAGGCCAATTCTTGAGCACACGGCTATGCAAGGTGGTGGGTGGTTGCAGATTATTCTCCCAACGCTGGAAAACACAATTTGGCAACCTTACAAGATTTTGTGTGTCTCTCTCTTTCTGAACTGTAGAAGTTTTATGTTATTTGCGGGGTGGCGTTTTTCTCTCTTCAAGATGGGGGAATTTTCAGAGATGTGTGCCTGTTGTAAATTTGCTCTCTTAAATACCATCTTAGGGACGTGGGTGACGCTGTGGGTTAAACCACAGAGCCTAGGACTTGCTGATCAGAAGGTCGGCGGTTCGAATCTCCATGACGGGGTGAGCTCCCGTTACTCGTCCCTGCTCCTGCGAACCTAGCAGTTCGAAAGCACATCAAAGTGCAAGTAGATAAATAAGTACTGCTCTGGTGGGAAGGTAAATGGTGTTTCCGTGCACTGCTCTGGTTTGCCAGAAGCGGTTTAGTCATGCTGGCCACATGACCCGGAAGCTGTACGCTGGCTCCCTCGGCCAATAAAGCGAGATGAGCACCGCAACCCCAGAGTAGGCCACGACTGGACCTAACGGCCAGGGGTCCCTTTACCTTTAAATACCATCTTAAGCCAATTCATTAGCCTGTAGCCCTCCAGGTATCGTTGGCCTGCAGCTTCGGGCATTGGCTAGGGCCATGGAAGTTGGGAGTCCAAGCATTTCTGGAGGGCCATGAATCCCCTGTCTGCACTTGCACATGGATGTGGTTGGGGAAGAAATGGACTATCCCTTTTCTCCCTGGCACAGTAGGAGTTAAAATGTGGGAGGACTCTTATGGGAGAAGAGGTACAGTCCACACACCTATTGCATGTGTCTGGGCGTGGTACAGTCCAAGCAGAGTGGTACTTAAATGTCTACATAGTCCTTTGTTATTCCCCCCCCAAAAAAACAACAACAACCCAGAAGCAGGCCAAGTGGAGATGTTTATCTAATCCATATGGGCCTAAAAATTGTATTTATATAAGTTTTTTATTGTTAAATTGCTTTGGGATGCTTCCTGGGAAGGGATTGCTAGATTAAGTGGTAAAGGGACCCCTGACCATTAGATCCAGTCACAGACGACTCTGGGGTTGCAGTGCTCATCTCGCTTTACTGGCCGAGGGAGCCGGCGTACAGCTTCTGGGTCATGTGGCCAGCATAACTAAGCCGCTTCTGGAGAACCAGAGTAGTGCACGGAAACGCCGTTTACCTTCCCGCCAGAGTGGTACCTATTTATCTACTTGCACTTTGACGTGCTTTCGAACTGCTAGGTTGGCAGGAGCAACGGGAGCTCACCCCGTCACGGGGATTCAGACCGCCAACCTTCTGATTGGCAAGTCCTAGGCTCTGTGTTTTAACCCACAGCACCACCCGCGTCCCAAGTGAAGTGAATGAAGAGTAAAAGAACAAATTATCAAGTAGACAAGAATGCAGCTTGTCCTAGAATAATAAAGTAAAATAATAAGTATATTTGTACCTTGCTCATCTTTTCAGCGTATACAAAAACTTAATAAAGCACTAAACATTAAAAGCTTCCCTATTCGGGGCTTTGGGCAAGTGCAGATCTAAGAGTTCAAAAAGGAAAAGGAACTTCTGTGCCGAGAAGCCGAATTCTGCGAGTGGCATAAATAAACTCTACAGTCACATCGTAATGTAGCACCCAAAGACCAGTGTGTACCAACTCTCTATCCTCGTGGCATCGATCTGTCCCTACACTGTAAAGGAGCCCTAGGCGGACAGTGATCAACCTGGTAGCTTCTGAAACTTTATAGAGAGGTGGGATGGGGACTTCCTTTTCTGACCTTGCTTTTTCTTTCTGCCAGAATGGAGATGGCTTTGTAGATGATAGTGCCAAGCTGAAGAAGATAATCATGGCCATCAAAGCCGCCTTGGTGTAAGGACGGCTGGAAGAATGCACCCAACAGCTTAATGCTTAGCAGAGGTAAAAAAACAACCTGTAAATATTTCTGCCTGTAATACATGTGCTGTCAAGAGTCTTGGCTCCACGGTGGGGTCTGTACTGGGATCAAATTGCTTTCTCACCCTAGTGCTTGCAATATTGTTCAGTTAAGCTAGGCTTTCTCAAAAACGGTAGCAGTAGGCACACTCCCATTATGATCAGGTCCGTCCTACTGCTGGGCCTGCGTAATACCCTAGCTAGAGGGGGTTGTATTTACAGGATGATGCCAAATTACTTTGTCTGATACAGATTTGAAGCCTACATTTGGCGAGGATGTATCCTTCTAAATGGTTCTGTCCTGTCTTGCAAATAGCGTGAACCAAAAACAGCTACATGAGTCAGTGGCAACTCAAGATCAAGGGTGATATTTTGTTTTTGCTGATCAGGATCCTTGGGGCAGAGTTTGGAGATAAGCTCTGGCATGTGTGAAATGTCTCTGAGCGTGTGCAGAGTTCTAATCCACACCTACATATGGGGAATGCGGTCTTTTGTCAGGCTGTATACAATAGCATCTTCTGCCCTCTACGTGCCACGCTTGAAGCATTTAGCATAGCTGGTGGGTGGGTGGCAGCTTGGAGAAGCAGTTGCTCATGTACAGCGCAAAATCACGTAACCGCATTGTCTTTCTCTTCCTTGCTCAGCAGCTCAAAGGAAAATCTGTTTTGTTCACCTTGGCCGAGCGCTTGATGACGGGAGCTGCTGAAACGTCAACCGACACCTGGCAGTTTCCTGAAAACCCTTGCGTAGGATGCCAGCTTGAGCAAAGCCTGATGGGAGAATTTGAGCTCTGAATAAGATGCACTTTGACACCTGTGTGCTGACCTGGGCAGCGCCCAGCAACTACAGTGCCTAACACCTTGGTGTTGTGTATTCAGTGTGTGCTGCACGCAATCTTGGCTTTCTCTGTAGTTCTTGTTTTAATCTGATATACTAATGGTGGAAACTGATTCTAGATCGCAGTGGAGGGTAGGCATCGTAGAGCCCTCTCACCAAACAAACAAAACAAACTTGTTCTGGCTTCTTAGATCACGGGATGCTCTCGGGTGCTTTTGCCTTCTGCGAGTTGGCAACTTAAAATACGCTTACCCAGTGCTTACACAACATGGTGGAATCCAATTCCTTTTCCACCCCAAAAAAAATACATTTCATTTAATATAGGCCCCAAACATGCAACTTGAGTATTCTTTCTTGTTCCTTTCCCACCCCACTCCCGATTTTCAAGTTGCAAGATGGGGGGGGGGGGAATTGAGTCCATTTGGTATCCAATAAAAGACATTTCAAGTTGTAACCTTGTGTGGAAACACTTTATTCTCTTGCATATTTGTGCGTAACTACACAAAGGTGAGGCATAGGCTATCTACGTTTTTACACCAATATTTTACCTTATAATATTCTACCCCTCCACCCCTGTCGTTGAGCCCGGGCACAGAGATCCAGCACCGAGGGCCTTCTTGGTAGTGGCACCCACCCTGTGAAACACCCTCCCATCAGATGTCAAGGAGATAAGAAACTATACAACTTCTGGAAAACATCTGAAGGCAGCCCTGTATAGGGAAGCTTTTTAAGGTTTAATGTTTTACTACGTTATTATATATGTTGGAAGCTGCCCAGAGTGGCTGGGGCAACCCAGTCAGATGGGCAGGGTACAAATAATATCATTATTTCCAGATTAAGGTCTTAAGCTACCGTAGATCAAAGCTGAGTTTATATGAGTGCCATGGATGAATGGCTGCCTTGTATTCCATGCCCATTTGTGATTGAAGTTTTGTAGTCTTCTCCCATCCCCTCACAGTGAAAGCGTAACTTCTTGTAGCCTGTATACCCTTTTCTGAAAAGAGATCCAAGTGCAAAAGACTCCTCCAGAAGTTGATTTAGTGACTGCCCAAGACCACGGGTGGCGCTGTGGGTAAAACCACAGTGCCTAGGACTTGCCGATCGTATGGTCGGCGGTTCGAATCCCCACGGCGGGGTGAGCTCCCGTCGTTCGGTCCCAGCTCCTGCACACCTAGCAGTTCGAAAGCACGCTTAAAGTGCAAGTAGATAAATAGGTACCGCTGTATAGCGGGAAGGTAAACGGCGTTCCGTGTGCTGTGCTGGTGCAGGCTCGCCAGAGCAGCGATGTCACACTGGCCATGTGACCCGGAAGCGTCTGTGGACGGCGCCAGCTCCCGGCCTCTAGAGTGAGATGAGCGCACAACCCTAGAGTCTGTCAAGACTGGCCCGTACGGGCAGGGGTACCTTTACCATTAAGACCACCATAGCGTTGTTGGGATGAATAAAACTCTGCAAATAAATACTTTTCTCCCCCCCCCCTTTAAGGCATGCGTGAAATTTGATTTCCAATCTTCATAAATGTGTGACGTCTGCTGTAATCCTCAGAAAAACATTGAATTGTATTTACAAATAGTAACATGACCTCTTTTTCCATAGTTGGAAGAAACATTGAGAAGCATTGTAAGTAAAACCAGGAGTATGGAGTGCTGCTGGAGCAAGAGGGGCTCCACCTTAGATTATCTAATCTTGTTTGGTATATTGAAGCTTCCCACTGATTTTGCCAGTGCATGTTTCATCCAAAATATTTTCATTTTAAAGGGCACTAATCAGCTTGGTGCACGTTTTGGCTCACAATTTGTACCTATTGCAGAATGCTTAAGGGCTAAATCTCAAGTTTAAATACTGAGCAAGAGCTCTTAGGTCCCCGACTGTGATGCTTATGTGAAGCTCTGGTCTGCCGTTGCTATGCCAACAGGATGCCATCACTTGGGTACTAAGCTGCTTACAAAGAAGGAATTAAGTGGTTCCTTCAGAGCTTCGCAAAATGAAATTGCTCTTGGTTTTTGTTTTCATAACAAGAGAGCTGGGAATGGAGTTGAGGAGATGGTGGCTCTCCTCACAGTTATGTTGTACCATTATGGTATGGTATTGTATTGTATACATATGACTGCGTGCACCCTGCTTCTTAAAAGCAGGAACAATCCCATTCCTAAATTGCTTAACCAAACTAAAATTCCAGGGAAGCAGGGTACTTGGTTTGAGCACTTTGACTTCCTCACAAAGAAACAGTTTCAAGTGCAGCCTTTTGTAGTGTGCTGGGGCAAGGATAAACTATTGCCAAGAAGCGTAGGGGAATTGTGGAGACCTTTTGTGCACTATTTTTTTAAAAAATTATAGTCTAATGAAATTGCAAGCAGGATTTGCAATAAAAGCTGTAGAAGAAAAATGATAATAGAGAAACATTTTGCAATAAAGATATAACGCAGTAGAAAAGGTTTGACTAAAAACACAAGGTGGGGTGGGAAGTCAATTTATGAAACAAATTTACTGTATTTTTTTGTCCCATAGGGCGCACTGCCCCATAGGACGCACCTAGGTGTTTTTTTTTGGGTGGGGGAATAAAGAAAAAAAATATATTTCCCCCCCCAGGTGCAGGGGAAGCCCGAGCTTCCCCCGACCCCAGAACAACCTGCTATCCGCAAGCCTAGGGAGCCCGGCGGGAAGTTGCGCTGGTCTCCCCAGGCTTTTGGAGAGCTGCGCAAAGCCCGGGCTTTGGAATGCAGGCAGCTCTGCACAACCCTTGGGAGACTGGCACAAAGTCGCGCCGGTCTCCCAAGGGTTGCACAGAGCTTCCTGGAGAGCGAGAGGGGTTGGTGCGCACCGACCCCTCTTGCTCTCCAGGCTTCAGCGAAAGCCTGCATTTGCCCCATAGGACGCGCACACATTTCCCCTTCATTTTTGGAGGGGGGAAAGTGCGTCCTATAGGGCGAAAAATACGGTAATTGTTATGAAGATTATTGTGAAACATTTAATAAAAAATACACTGGGGGAAAAGAAATGTGGAATCTGGCCCTCCAGGTGCCGTTGAATTCCAGTTCCTATCTGTCCCAGCCAGCATGGCCAATGATTGGAAAAGATGGAAACCGTTGTCCAACAAAATCTGGAAGGCTGTAGGTTTGTCACCTCTGGTTTAGTGTTCTCTGTACAGGCATGGCTGCTGTGCAGAAGGCACTGAACTTCAACAGGAAGTCATGGGATGAGAGAATGGCGTGAGGGGGCAGACTTGATAAGGCATGTGGAAAAAATTCTAGGACCCAACAAGACACAGCATGGAAATGGGAAACAAAGCATGGCATTTAGATTTAAAAGAAGTAGCTGTTATGAGAGCGCAACGGACTATATAGTTCAGGGGCGTTTCAATGGATGCGCACGGTCTTTTCACAGTGATCTGTAGAGAGCTGTGTGTCCTAAACTTGAGATGGTGGTCACGGGGGTGAAGGAGCAAGCTGTTACTAGTTATTAAATTTGTACAGCGCCCTCCATCTGTCACTCTCAGGGCAATTCATAATTTAAAATATTGACGCAAACAATCCGTACCAAACATTCTCAGTCCAACGTCAGGAACTCCAAACAAGCAAAAGCAGGAAACTAGTCAGCTTTGTTGCTTATGTAAAGTTCTGTGCTGAAAACAGAGTTGCTGGGCTCATTTAGAATAGTTTGCACTGCTCAATAGGGGCTTAAGTGGATATCTTATGAAAATAGTGGCACTTCAGTGGTGCCTCGCAAGACGAAATTAATTCATTCCGCGAGTTTTGTCGTCTTGCGATTTTTTTCGTCTTGCGAAGCACGGTGTCGGGAAAGTTTTGGAAAAGCTTCAAAAATCACCAAAGTCTTTAAAAACCTCAAAAAAGGCTACCACACCGCGTTCTATGAGTTGCTCCTCAAAGTCAAGTCGCAACTGTATTAACGGTGTTAAGAAAAAGGAAACAAACTTGCAAGACGTTTCCGTCTTGCGAAGCAAGCCCATAGGGAAAATCGTCTTGCGAAGCAGCTCAAAAAACAAAAAACCCTTTCGTCTAGCGAGTTTTTTGTCTTGCAAGGCATTCGTCTTGCGAGGTACCACTGTATATAATTCCATCCCTTACTGCTGCTGTTGGCCCACAGCGGCTTTTGATAGTTTTTGGTTTTGCTCACTGTTTACAGCTAACATCCACCAGAGATCATCCAAGTATCTGTTACACATTGAGACATTTGGCAGGGGTCCAACATTGCTCCTCTCAACCCGCAAATTAGATGAAAAATATTTGAACCAGACATTGCAAATGTTGAGGCGGAGAACTGCCTTGGGAAGTTGCCAAGTCTTTCCTCTCTCGTCTAAAAAAAGAATCCTCTACACAGTAGCTAGTCCTTTTTTATAAGTTAATTTCCTTGCTCTGTGTGAAGCGTGCAACAAGTAGCAATAAATTTAAGGATGTTGGCAAGGCAGAACATGTGCAGAGGAGGGGACCAAGATGATCAAGGGTCTGGAAACCAAGCCTTATGAAGAATGCTTGAATGAGCTGGGTATGTTTAGTCCGGGAAAGAGACATGATAGCCATCTATCTCAAAGGCTGTCACATGGAAGAGGGAACAAGCATCTTTTCTGCTGCTCCAGAGGGTAGGGCCCAAATTGATGGATCCAAGTGATAAGGAGATTCCAACTAAACATCAGGGGGAAAACTTTCTGACATTAAGAGCTATTTGACAGTGGAACAGTCTCCCTTAGGTCTTTAAGCAGAGGTTAGACAGCCATTTGTCATGGATGCTTTAGCTGAGTTCCCTGCATTGCAGACAGTTGTACTAATGACCCTCAGGGTCCCTTCCAACTTTACAATTCTTTGATGCTATGTGAAAAAGATGCAATCTGCTAAATGCCTGTGGATTGCTTGCAAACAGAATAACAAGAATGGAGGGGTCAGTGGGGGAAGCAGAAAGAAATACAGATGCATTATATTTAGTATTAGCAGCAAGGGTGTAGGGTGGGGGAGCATAATGTAAATTATGTGGCTTGTTCCCACACTCCAGCAAGTGATCCCACTAGCCTGTAAGAAAAGCTTTATAGAATGCTGGGGTTCAGGGCTAAGGAATTAAGCTTTCCCCCTTTCTAAGCTCCAAAGGGCTAGTAGCCAGTTCAAAACCTAAGCATTAGATTGCAAGATAGGGGGCTGGGGAATGTCTTTAGAATAGGAAAGGGGGTGTCGCAATAGAGTATTTTTCCTCTCCCTCAGAAAAGCTCCACATAGGATAGGGTGGAGTTTTCTAACCTCCTGGTGCATATCCCCCCCCATGCCAAAAACCCACCTACAGGGTACTATATAAGCTGCTAGGGGCTTCAGCCCCCTGCTTCCATTCCCTGCCTCCAACTGACAAAAGACCAAGCCAAGAGTGTTCTGCAACATGAGAAGGTCTGAATGTAAACGGAG